TGGCCGTTTTTCAGCTTCGCAAACGTTGTAGTTGTGATTAATCGTGACGAGTGACCACAAATCTCTTCCCTCTCTGCCCCCTGTTTTCAGTACAAACTGCCATGTTTCTGGGCCTGTTTATAATGTTGGCTACGTGTGAGGTTTTTTTTTTTTTTTAAAGTATTTATTTATTTATTTGGTACACCCACTCCCCCCCTCACCCCTCTTTCTCTCTCCCCCCCACCCCGGCCTTTCCTCCCCCCCCCTCCCCCAAAAAAGGAGGAAACAGCTGTATCCTGCCTGTGTACAACAATTGCTCTCCCTGGGGCAAACGGAAAACATTTTTTTTTGGAAGAGGAAAAAGGGAGAGAAGAAAGACGGACCTCTGCAAACTGTTGGGGAGGGGGGAGCAAAGCATGGATGGGGGGGCTTGGCAGGAGAATCCTATAGTCCAGATGTCCTGCTGGGTGGGGGGGGGGGGGGGGAAAAATGGATTGTGGGTCGGGGGCGTGGGAGGGCAAGGGGAGAGATGACCTGGCTGGGAAAAAGATCGGGAAAGTGAGAAATTTGGGAAGAACTCCTAAGTTTGGAGGGATATTTCACTTCCATCTTCTCCTTCTAAAAGCTGGCCTGGGGGTGGGGGTTTAATCTGGGGAGAAGAGGGGGGTACATCTTAAAAAATGGAGCCACAGGGTTAGAATGGGAGAGGGAGGAAGTCCCTTGACGCATCGTCTTCCATATAGAGTCTAGGACGGGTGTCGGCAACTGCAGCTCTAGAGCCGCATGGGGCTCTTTAGGCCCTCTGCTGTGCTTCCCTGTTGGGTGGTCCCACCACTGGCTGGCTTCGCCCCTTGTCCTCTCCTCCCAGTCACTCCTTGCCTGGCCTGAGAAAAGAAAACACCGGAAGCCACAAAACCTGGGTAGGCGTGGCTAGGATGTGCGTCATGTGACTGGGTGGGAGTGACATTGAGTTGGCGGCACCGCCCACCCGGGTTTTGTGGCTCCCGGTGTTTTCTGCGGGAAACGGGTCCAAGTGGCTCTTTTTGAGTGTTTTTAAGGTTGCAGACACCCGGTTCAAAGAGAAGAGCCGTCTATGGGAGGAGGACCCCGAGCCTCTTCTCAAACCAGCTTTTATTCAAAGGCAGATTTGACAGACTTTTGGGGGCTGCGTGGAGGGGCTCTGATGATATTTTGGGGGGGGGGGTACGTGAGGGAGGAAGGGAAGGCGGGTCGAGGGGAGGCAAATTGCAGATTGTGAATCCGTTAGCAATTGTGCGTTGAAGAACTTGCATGGGGGAACTTTTCTTTGATAGGCTTGCAACCCTTTCGGGGTGTCGCTGTCGTTTGTGCTGAAAAAAAGAAACTTCCTTTTAATGAAACGATTTTAGTCTGAAACGGGGGCCCCTGAGATCCTCAGATCGTGTCATCGATAAAAGTCACTTTAAGGCGACGTGTGAACTTCAACTCCCAGAATTCCACCCCACGCAGCTTGCCGACCTTAAAGGAACACATCCTGCAGAGCTGGCTGGGGGGATTCTGGGAGTTGAAGTTCCCGCTTTGTCTTTTTTTAAAGTGGCTAAAGTTGAGAAAATATTGGCATAGAGAGAGGGGTACGGGGGTGTTTGTGAGGGGAGTTGGGGGGGAGGGAGGAAGAGAAGGGGCTGCCCCCTCTCCAGTTGGCCATCAGGTGTCACTGTGGACGTGGTAACTTGCCCAAAGAGAATTTAAAAAGAGGATAAAACGGATCCCAGCTCAAAATTGAAGCAGACAGACAGACATCATCATCGGTGAGAAGGAAGTTTCCTTGAGTTAAACTGCCCAGCCAGCCCTGATCCTCAGCAGGGGGGGAAAAATGGTGTGGGGTGGTAGGATCCAACCTGGGATACAAGCAATGGTTTGATTATGCTGTGAAAAAGAAACAAACAAAAAAAAAATGGAATATTGATATTTGGAAGACAAAATAAAAAACCTAATAAATGTCCTGTGGAGAATGCCCCAATGCTCGTCTCTTCCTTTTTTTTGCTTTTGCCTCGCTGGAAGTGGGTTTCTTTCCATGGAGAGTGGAGAGGGGGTGATTTTTCTCTCTGAAAAGGGTAATATTCGTCAAACGCCTCAGGGCGATGTGATTGCGAGGGGTTAACAGATAATCAGTTGGAAGGGACCTTGTGGGTCATCTAGTCCAACCCCTCCCTCCCGCGGGTTGGTAAGGCAAGTGACCGATCAGGCCGAAAATGGATTTTGATTTTGGTCTTCTGGAAATAAATGATTTTTTAGGGGAGATGGGTTAGTTGTAAGCCATCCTTACGGTTTCCATTTTTAAAACTGTCGCAGAATAAAGTTACTCCCTCTACTTCTCTTTCTTTCCTATCTATTTTCCCTTTCCCCCTCTTCCTTTACTCTTTCTCCTTCCTTCCCTTCTTCCTCTCTCCTTCCCTTCTTCCTCCCATTCTCTACCTATCTTTCCTCGTCTTTTCCCTTCCTCTTCCTTTATCTCTTCTTCCTACCTTTCTTCTTTCTCCCTTTTCCCTTCCTCCTGTACCTTCTCTTTCCCCTTCCTTCACCCTCCCTTCTTTCTTCCTAGCTTTTCCCCTCTTCCTCCTTTACCACCTCTTCCTTCCCTTCTTCCTTCCACCTTCTACCTGTCTTTCTCCTTCTTCCCTTCTTCCTCCACCTTTACCACCTCTTCCTTTCTTTTCCCTTCTCCCTCTTTTTTTCTTCCTTTTCCCTTTTTTCCCTCTTCTTCCTTTACCTCTTCCTCCTTCCTTCCCTTCCTCTCTCCTTCCATTCTTCCCACTTTCTTTACCTGTCTTTCCCCTTCTTTCCTTCCTTCCTCTTCCCTTCTTCCTCCACCTTTACCTTCTCTTCCTTTTCTCCTTTCCCTTCTCCCTTTTTCCTCCCTCCTGTACCTTTACTTCTTTTTCCTTTCTTCCTCCTATTAAAAAAAAAAAACTTCGTTTTTATGGTTCGCCAAAGCAAGCTCAGAATCGTTTGTGGCTTGTCCGCTTCTCGTTGCAAAACTCACATTAAAAATTTTTTTTTAATATATTTTTCTCTCCTCCCTGGGTGCATTTATGGAGAAATGAAAGAAAATATTTTATTTCTTGACTCAAAACAAAACAGCCTCAGCCAAGGGATGGAGGCAGAAAGGAAGCACAAGAGGCTGTTTTTCCAGTCGGGGAGGGAGAGGAACAGCCAAGCCCTGCAGCTTGGAGCTATTAATACATTCGCTCCTCTTAATGACGGGAACAAAGTGTTCTCACCTCCTGACCCAGCTTTTTCTGCAGAGGATTCAGCTGCTTGTTGGCACCTGGGGGGTAAGGTTGCCAAGGGGTGGGTGTGAAGGCCAGCAACACCTGCCTCCTCTAGGGACAGGTGAGGCCGGGGTGGCACTCAGCGTTCCCCCCAGGAAGGAGGTT